CCGACAGTGGAGACTCACTCCCCTGTCTTCCCTGAGCAAGAAGCCCCACTCACCAAGTATCTCTCAGCTGCACTTACATTTTCATAGAAAAGTATTACAAAGGAACAAAGAGAAGATGTGGTCAGGGACTAATCTATTATAAAGTAATGACAGGAAGATTTAGCATAACAAATATATACTAGATCCTTTATATATTCTCATAAATTTTCTCAAGAATACAAGGGATGCAGTTACGAACCAGAGAAATTGAGTGAAGTTCCGAGAGTAGTAAACAGCCCAAGTGTGAAAATGTGACATTTCTGGTTCTAAGGCTGTGTTGTTTCCACTACAATCAGGTTTTTATGTTATATTTACCAAAGAACTATGATCTGAATTTAAGGGTTTAGGTCAAAGTTGAAGCATAACTGAATTATTTTACATTAGAAGATCTTGTACATCTATGATTAATTTTTTTCTCCCCAGTAGGTTCACTGTTAATCTATTTTCAATTCCTCAATCTAAAATATGAACTTAGCCAGAAAATAAATGTATGGTTGAAGAATTCTCTCTCAAGACTTTGCCAGTGGCAATTAGTTTGAAGGCTTTTCGAAACCAAGGATAAAAGAAAGCATAAATCAAGGGGTTCATAGCTGAGTTAAAATAAGCAATCCAAACCAATATTTCATAAATATATGTGGGGGTGATGAAGCCCAGGAAGGCATCAATTATTGAATTCACATAGTATGGCAGCCAGGAAATCAGAAATGCTACCACTGCAATGCCCAGCGTTTTTGCTGCTTTTCTCTCCCTCTTGGCCACTCTGTCCCTGTAACTGTCTGAGGATCTCACAGTCTTATTGCTCACACTTTCAATTTTTCTTGCCTGTTGTTTGGCAATGAGGAAGATCTTGGAGTACACAATTATCATCACAAGCGTGGGAAGGAAAAATAATAGGAAATTGACCAATACCCAACTTTGATTCACTGCAATTTGACAGCCACCCACACAGGTGAGAGCACTTACTAGATCCTCCAGCCCAGCTTCATTCGCACCTGTGCCAAAAAGGGAACAAGAATGAAAAAATGGAAAAAAGCCAGGAGAAGGCAATACACAGGCCAGAAACATTGGCAGTGAACCTGGTGGGATAGAGCAGGGGGTCAGTGACCGCCAGGTACCTGTCGAGAGAGATAAAGCACAGGTGGTAGATGGAAGCATAACAGAACGACCCGTCAAAACAGGAGTGAAACTGACAGAAGCGCTGCCCAAAGTACCAGCAGCTCTCCACGGACCTCACTGTGCTGAAGGGCATCACAGCCGCCCCCACCAAGAAGTCGGCACAGGCCAGGGAGGCGATCAAGAAATTGGCTGGAGAGTGCAGCTGCTTGAAGTGGAGAACTGAAATCATCGCCGAGAGGTTTCCAAACACAGCCAGGGCAGCTCCAGAGCCCAACACAGCGTACAGGATCAGGCGGGGGCCGGGTGAGTAGGGGGTTTTGACACAGGAGCCGTTCAGGTGCTCATAGCAGAGCTGCGCAGCCGCGGGAGGCGGCCAGTCGCCGCTCATGGTTCTCCGTTTTGACTCCTGGAAAAACTGTCACCCTCTGTGGCCCAGGTTGTCGTTCCAGTTTTCAAATGTTCTTAAAACAAGATAAATACAGTTTGTCAGTAACTGCTAGTATATTCTGTCTCTATCTTTTTCTAAGAACAAATCCTTATTTTCATGTTTAGAAGGTGACTCATATTCTCACCTCAAAAAAAATTCACTTCCAAATGAATAAGCAGTTACTTTTCATCATTACATAAACTCCTATTTATCTGAATTAAAAAAAAATCTGCTTGCATTACCTAGTTCTTCATATCAGAAAACTGTTGGTGTTCAAGGAGCTATTACATGATGCATGTTCAAATGCCACACTTTATGAACATTCTTTCCTAATTTATCAGAGCAAGGATAACGCCCCAAACACTCTGTCCCCTCAGGAAAGGAGCTAAATGATTCCAATACCCAAAGCCCTTCAGACTGAATCCCCACAGTGCAAGGTACAGAAAGGGAAAAAAAACTTTAAATAACAATGATGTTTATGCTAAAATGAGTTCATGCCCTACTAATTTCCTGATGACATCTGACCTTTTCATGAACTAGAAATGGTGTATATTCTTCAAAGTTTTATCCAGAATGTGAGAGCCACATTATTTATTGTTATTAATTGTTGGAAATTGCCTTTTCACTTTTGTTAGAACCATTTATTTAGGACACATTCTTATCAATGACCCTGTTTCCAGTGGTAGACAGAGAACTAGGAGCCCTGGGCTAGAGTGCAAGAATATTTCCTCAGTTTACTACCTACAGATTCCTGTAATCAAGTGCCCCCAGAAGAAAAGGTCTGGGTGACCAAGTCCTTGCTGCCATACAACATTTTAGTGAAAAAGAGGGGTATAATGAATTTGTTCGTTTCTTTTAACTGTTCTTGAGGACTTGCAGG